CGAACCAAAACTTCATGTAAAGAAGCTTACATATCAATAAATACATAAAAAAAATTCATCAAATTTGGTCAAGTGATCGTCGAGATACCTTCGATTAAATTTTTTTAAAAAAAACGATCTACATGAGGTGTGAAAATATCAAAAAAAGGGGTGTGGAAATATTTTTTTTAATATTAAAGCAAGGGTTAAAAACTAGGCTTAACAAGAAATTTTTTTTATTAAAGCTCAAAAATAGGTTCATAAACAAAATTTAAAATATATTATATATTGGTGATAATTACCAGTGGCGATAAATAGCAAACTTCTAAAATATAAGATTAAAATTTGAAAGATTTTTTATGTGCTGAATACTTTATTTATAGATTAATATAGCATATCTACCAGACAATATTTATATAAACAAAGAAAATATGCCTAAGGTTGCAATAACAACTTTCCTGATGTTTTCCTTCCCTCCAAATCCAAATGGGCTTGTTTTACGTCGCTTAATTTATATGTCTTCCAAATTTTAATATTTAACTTTCCTTCTTTAATCATTGTAAACAACTCTGTTGAATATTTTTTAAACTCTTCTTTAGTTGCAAGATAATTGTATAATGTAGGTCTCATCAACTTTAAATTTTTTTCTGAAAGTCTTAAAATGCTGAATGGAGGTACTGTGCCGCTCGCATTTCCAAATGAAACCAATGATCCTAAACGACGAGCACAAGCTAGAGAGATTTCAAAAGTATCTTTGCCAACACCATCAAAAATAGCATGTACACCATTATTATCAGTAATCCGCATAACTTCCTCAACAACATTTTGAGTAGTATAGTTAATTATATGTTCTGCACCAGCAGAAAGTGCTAATTTGGCCTTCTCATCATTAGAAACCGTACCAATGGCGTGAGCACCGCAATTTTTCACAAGTTGCACAAGAAGAAGACCGCAACCACCTGCAGCCGCATGGATAAGAATCCAATCACCTTTTTTCACTTCATAAGATTGAGTTACCAAGAGCAAAGACGTTAAGCCCTTTAAACATATTATAAGCAAATTTTAGAATATTATGTATAATAGAACGTGTATTTCTTCTGAACAAAATGTGGCATTAATGGAAATATTATACTCTGGAATAATCTAAAAGTATAAACCACTTCACCAATTGTTTTATATATTGCACCATTTTAGGATATTATAAAAGGCAAACAGAGTGGTTTATACTTCAAGGATATTATTAACACTAATCTGGATTAAAATATCAATAAAGTTTGCTAATAATTGTCGCGGCAGCGCTGATAAAGAGTATGTGAATTTTGTGGGTTTAATAAAGTTTAGCAGACACCAAATTTCAGCATCAGCCGCGACATTAATTAACATAGTATACTTTACAATCCAGAGTAGCGTATTCTGGTATTATGGTGTGTGACCTAGTGTAATAACTCCCGGTGTGGAATGATTTGATTTTATTCTGGCAGAGTATATTCCACACCTCTTTGGATTAACATCCTTAACGAAATGATACCTGAAGAACAGAAGCAGCAGCCAACTTCAGATCAAGACCATCTGGTAATTTAACAACATATTTTGACGCAATTGTAAATTCAGCATAACTTGGGCAAAGGTAAGCTACGTGATCTCCGGGCTGGATGTCCTTTACATCCTCACCAACTGATTCTACGATGCCAGCACCTTCTCGACCAATTATCGCGGGAAGCGAAAGTTTATAAATACCAGTTCTGCAAAAGATTCACCCGAATTAATGAGATGATAAAATGTTTACCAATCAAATCAATCAAATGAGATTTACGGTTTAAAAATAAATGAACCTGTGATATATATCGATGAAATTCACTCCCATGAAGTGGTTCTTAATCAACACATCAGTCGGCCCAGTAATCTTAGGACGCTCTGTGGTAACATATTCCAAAACCTCTACACCACCTGCACTCTTAACTTGGATAGCTTTCATAGATGATGCCATTGCTGATAATTTGAAATAGTTGGTAATTATAATAATAAAATATTTTTTCTAAGAAATATTAGTTATTGCGTACCGAAGTTTTTGCGAAATTGGAATGATAATTTTGAATATTTAAATAGATTACGATAATTTTGAAGTCTGATGATCATGGTTTTAGGTAGATATCGGATAAATTAACGTTAAACTACCAATGTCTCATAGAAGGACTTTCGTCTGATTGGCTGATGTAAATCAATTGCCCGGGTAACTAATTTATACAGTTTAAAGTACTT